TTTTCTACTTAAGTGGGGTGGTCTAAAGTTGAGCTTGTGTCTGTGTGGTCTAGCGGTCTTTGATGGTCTAGCTGTCTACAGTCAGTGTAGCGCTGTGGTGATTCTGAATAGATCTTGGCTGGAGACTACACTCAGGCTACATCACTTGCTAATCATCACCAAAAGCCAATTATTTGTCTGTCGCTTGTTTTATGTCTCCAGGAAACCAGAAATCAATCACTTTCATCTCTTGTGGTCTTTAAAGGAAACGTTTGGTGTAACCTGGCTCTGTTGCCCAGATTTGGGGAAACAAAGACTCTAATGTAAAAGCTGCGATTAATAATGAAAAACCCACACAGGATTGTCACCCAACTTTGGGGTTCCCCTCAGCTCTGTGGAGTGTTTAGCTCATTGTTTTGGTTATAAGACCTACAGCTTGACTGTTATGATAAAGCGTCAGCTTTGTTTCCAGCAGCAGCAGGCAGATGTCTTTCAGCGAAAAAACAAAAATGACAATGTTAAAACAATATGACACTGTGAAAGGGGTCACACGTAGTGGCAAACCTACAGACATTTATCACCTGAATCTGCAGCTTCTCTCGGCTTTACAGATCTTTATAGTGAGTTTTAGCTCATTGTTTAGCTGTCTGGTTTGGTTCACTCTGTATCATTTTCTTAGTGTCATTTTCAGTCACAGCAGGCAGCTGTTCAGTTACAAAGCTCTTAAAAACCCACTGTACACGACCTGCTCAGCAGCAGGCAGCAGACAGACACAGTTAGAGACTAGCTGGTGAACATAGTGGAGCATTTAGCCGCTAAAGAGACAGATATTTCCCTCAGGAGATAATAGAGACCAAAACCAGAGTTAAAAGAGAGTGGATATTGGAGTAACAGTTACCAGGTGGCCAGAAACACAACTCCAAATGAATGTTCATGTTGCTCAATAACTGCTGGATGAGTAAATAGGCAACTGATTGCTAAGAAGTTCAACTTAAAAGCTGACGATATGTTAATGTTGTGTTCACAGCTTGTTTACGCTGCCCTAAGTGGAAAAAGAAAATTACTAACTGCATGTTTAAAGAAAAATCTATTTCTACCTGCAGGAAAAATGTCACCACTATGGCACTATGGGTTATGTGAACTTTGCATTCACCACCTCCGTTGTAAAGATTTGGGAAAATGAGGCCTCGTGTGCACAAGCCTCCTACAGCTATTGAAACAAAGAAGAAGAAGCATTTCAAACACTTGCTTCTGGGGCTGGTTGAAGTGAAACACAGAAAGTCGCCCCCTGGAAAAGAAAATAATGTCATTTGATACATTATTTGTATAAAAATATTGATTGAAGCTTTAAATTCAGTCTCTTTCTAAAAAGTAGTAAAAGTAGTTTCACCATAAGACATTCTGGTTGATTATCCCCTCTAATGATGTAACTGCTGTTTTTAGCCAATCCTACCTGGCTTCTATATCTCCATGGATGTACAGAAAACATTTTGTTCTTGCAGTACCATTATTCTAAATGAGTCTTTTCTCTCTGTCCATCAAACCAGGGTTCTTTGGAATGTGGACTTTTGGCCGTCCAAACAAACAGACTGGTCCTCCGTCAAAGAAGGTCATAGACGTCCCGAACACCAGGACACTTGAGTTGACTGGAGATCTGATTGGACACTCAGGGGCCGTCCAGGTGTGAATTTATGATGTCCAAACTTCTGTTGTACTTTAGTATGGTTGTCATGATTGTGCTTTAACAATGCCTTTTTGTTCTTCTGTCAGATGTTTGTGAGCTTTGGGGAAAACGGTTTGGTCACATGCTCGGCAGACCACCTGCTGATTCTGTGGAAGAACGGAGAAAGGCAGTCCCGCCTCCGCAGCCTGGCACTGTTTCAAAAACTGGAGGAGAATGGAGGACTCTGACCTTTAACCCTTGGATCGCTGCCTTAAAAATGAGATGATATTCTTGGTTAAAAAATATATTGTATTGATTGTTTTTTGAATTTAATGACAATGTAATGGTTGTTGTTTGTATTTAACTTATATTAAAAAAACAAAACAAAACAAAAACTAAATACCCCATCTCAGAAACTAATTGCAATATTTTTATATCCAGCATTGCGTGTTTTGGCGCTGTGATGTCAGACATCTCGTACGTACTATTCCCTGGTATAGGTCATATTGAGGCCTGTCAGGGATTAGCAGGTACATTGTCATCTAAGCACCTGCCTCAGTCCTCATTTCAGTGCAGCTTCATATTTGGTGTATAAGCCTGTTTCACAGTTCTCTTTGTAGAGATTTGGGTGTTTTTTCCCCACCACCCAGTCTGCAAAAACCCTCTTGTGACCACCAGTTCTGCAGACCTCTTTATAACATTTGCCCAATCAGACTTTCATCATCAAGGAGTCTGCACTGCTTTTCTTAATGCGGTAATTTGCATTGGTGTCTTAGTTAATTATTTCCCCGTGCTTTCAGTCTTCATTTTAAGCAACACTAATGCTCTTCTGGCTGTAGCCTTATATTTACCGGACGGATTCTGATGTAGCTCTTCACCAGAAAGGGACTAAGTGTATTTCCCAAAATGTCATGTCAATGTTTCTTTAAGGGTGACACAGTGGTGTGGTCGTTAGCACTGTCGCGTCACAGCAAGAAGGTCCGGGGTTTGAACCTTGGTCATCCCACGCCAGTTTGCCGTGGAGTTTGCATGTTCTGCGTGGGTTCTAGCTGGGTGCTGTGGCAGCCCAAAGACATGCACAGGTTAATTAGTGGCTCTAAATTGCCCTTGTGTGTGTGTGAATGGTTGTTTGTCTCTGTGTGTCAGCCCTGTGATGAACTGGCAACCTGTCCACCGCCTCTCAATTTGTTGCTGCAATTCATGTCACAACTTCATATTTAAAGAATTTTTTAATTGTCTCTCACAATACATTTGTGTTTGACAGAACAGCAAAATAAGACATCAAAATTCAGAGCGCAAACTAAATTTTTTAACAAACATTTTAAGTGACTGATGGAAAGCTTTTTTTCCCACTATGCATGAGGCAATACAATCTTTCAAAACACATTACAGTTCTCATGGCCAATAATAATTTGTTTCTTTGAAAAATAATTTATACTGAATACAACATCAGTTTCTAATTATTGTTCTGTTTATAAATTATACAAAATGACACCGGATTGGCACGTCTGCAGCCACGGCCATCAGCGTCAGAGGTGAAAGAGAGGAAATAGAAATCACTGTAAGTGATGAAGGCTTATTATATAACAAGCAGTTATACAATCTGGTTCTGCCTCAGACTCAAAGCGAGGCATTAAGCGATTGGCTGTCATCTGATTAATTCATATCATCACATTCCAGTCATTGCTGCTCACAGAAAAAGGCATGTTTGACTTGTAAATCTGAAATATTTAAATTATCTTTTTGAATAGAAATCTTTCGTTATCGTCTAGCAAAAATATCTTCTGATCAGTGACAGCGTCATGTCATGAAACACTCATTTCAAGTCACTGTAAAAACATTAAAATCTTGTTTTATAGATTTTGGAAATCATCCCTGCAACATATAACAGCCAAAAAAAGTTACATAAGCAAATTATGTAAAATGCAAAGCAAAAAAAAAAATTGGTTGAGTATTTACAGGAACAGCAGGTACATTAGGTAGTTTACAGTGTATTGCAACAATAGCAGACCTAAACACTGAGATGTGACAAGATTAAGGCGTTGATTAAGACCTTGGTCATCAATGAAATGACTACATCTTATAAATGCATTTAACATGGACCTGATCAGCTCTGTCTATTTGAAGTGAACTGAAATGATGATTGACAAACCAATAGTGGAATTCACATCTGCTCCAACATCACCTGATTCAGTCTTTTAAAAACCACAGAGTTGTACAAAACAGAAAGGATAAAATGTCCGGACCATCATGGCTAAACTATTAACACTGACTCACCATGTTAACTCAAAACTGCAGCACAGACCATAAAGTAATATGCCGAGAGTCATATTTTTTTCAAAATATCTATAACATGTATGGCTTTTCTTCTAATTCTTTCAGGAGAAACTATTTCAGCCTAAAAATACTTCGGTAAAGATGACCAAAGAATAAGGCACCTGTAAAGAGCTCTCTGTGCCTTTGGTTAATACTGTAATGTGCATTTCCTGGATTAACTACACGCATACTGTAAGCGCACAGCAACACCTCCTACTTCACTCATGACCATCATTCAGATGAAGTCTTGGGACGAGAACTGGTTTTACATAATAATGAAATTACACCATTTGACCAAAGCAGCTCAGGTAGTTTATGGATATCTGCAGATTTAACCACTAATCGCCATTTTGATTTCTAATTTAATTAGATGCTAACACCTTCCCAATACTGTTTCACCTTCATGTGTGAATTTAATTTTCTGATGCGTACCACCACTGCAACACCCCCAAGTAGCCACCAGAGGGCAGACACATCATACAAATCTCATCATCCCATGGCCTCTTTAGTTCGTTTATCTGAATCCAAATAATTTAAGAATCATACGCAGCTAGATTTCTCCCAGAAGAGAGCCAAATGTCTGTAAGGTGAATTGCAGTTTGGATTATTTGAGATACAGTAAAACTGGTTTAACAAAAAACATGTGCGGGCCGGAGCTGATTGGTGTTAGACACTGGCTCTGCAGCTGCTGTTTTTACAAGCTGGATCTGAACATGGATCTGGCGCTCCTTCATACATCTGTGCCTGCACCATACAACAGTCAGTGTCACTTCACATAGAACACGTATAGCCTACTTGCATTGTTCAGATACTAGCAAGTCAGGTTTCTTCTTATTCGGGTGCAAATGTCTACAGTTAGTGTCACAAAGCTATGCAAGTAACATCTGATGTTATTGTTTGATGAAAGTATCACGTCTAACTTAGACAACTCTGATACAGTGCAATTCTGTTCCTCCATTTGTTCTGACATACAGGTTTGACAAAGATCGCCACTGTCTTGAGCACAAAGGACGGTGATGTAGAGGAAGTTACCGTAACAGTAGAGGGAGATGTTTCACCACTTGTTACAGAGCTACATGATCTTTAGATCCAGCAGTCATCACAAACACAGGTCTTCTTGGAGGCTACCTCTGTATCTGGGGCTGGACATTTAGAAAACCTTTGTGCTGGTTCTCCCTCTCTGATTGGATCCTGGTACTTGCTCCCCTTTCTTAAACAAGTTTTTTCTGTACAGGGCCGACAGGGTTTGCTAAGAATTTGGTCCCATACACAAGTCAAAGTGTGTCTCATACTGTAGACCTTATCACAGTTTATAAGAATAATTTCCAGATGAGCACCTTCGCAAGTTGGCAATTTAGTACACACACATTAACCGGCAAGCACGAACAGATCCGTCTTTGTACTTATTCTCAGTTAGTGACTCTAGCTTTGGTGACCACGTTATTCACCACATTTCTTTTACAGCAATAGACAGACGTAGAATAAAAAGATCTGTTTAAAGAAAACTGAGGAAAAAAACTACTGAAAAGCAAAAATAGCAAGGAGGAGCTCAAAATGAAAGTGTCTTGATTAGCTAAAGTGCAGGTTTCTGATGTTACAATGGACGGTACAGATTGTCAAGTGAATGATGAGGTCAACACAGTTTTGTAGCGGTGCTATTTGGAATACTTAACAGGGCCATAAAGTGACAACAGAGAGTCGGCGGGGCCCTCAAATGACAACCTGTTCTCAACTGGCAGAACACCACCTCCACGAGAACCAAACAAGAAAAGAGGCTGTGATTTGAGATTGAAACAGCGTCTCAGTGTTCATCAGTCAGTGATGTCTGCTTTCAGAGTCCCCCGATTGACCAGCTTTGGGTCCGAGAATGTGTCCGGGGGTGCCCGGGAGGGCACAGACCTCCGTCGAATCACAGCTGAAGAGACTTTGTTCCACTGCAGGGCTGCGTTCTCTGTCTTAGCCTGCCCGGAGTGATGGATGAGAGGAGGCGATTAGGAATTGGTCAAGAAGGAGGGGGAGGACGCAGGCTCTTACACTTCATCTCATCCAGGCTCTTCCAGTACTTGTAATTCTCCGACAGGTGTTCCATGAGACCAGGTAGGCAGGCGAAGGCTGAGGGGAGACACACAAGCAAGGTCAGTTAAGCTGAGTCAAGTCAGTCTTAACATGATGCTGTTTTTGGTTGCTATAATAATTCCTCCTGTTCATACTGGCTGTGAGGAGATCCCTTCATAATATGATTCCAATGTAAGAGATGGTGGAGAAAATCTACAGTCCTCATTCTTCACATGAATCTGATTAAAATTCAGCTGAAGTTAACATGAGGCTTCAGCAGCCTGAGTTAGTGTCATGAAGACAGGTGGGTATCTTGCAAAGTAGCATATTTTTCAGAATATAATTCGCTCATTGTGTTGATGTCCCTTCACTATGGCTCAGGAAGAAAAACACCATCCAGGGAAACAAAATTAAGGAATTTTGTAGGACAGATTATTTATCAATATTGATTTGTCTGCCGATTCTTAATTCTGTGTTTTTATGAAATGTAAAAAAATGCTCCACCAGTCTCTCACAGTCCAGGTGGGCTTCTTTAAATGTCTCGTTTTGTCAACAGACCAACCAAAACCCCAGATTTAGAGAGAAAATCAGCAAATTCTTATATTGGAGAAGCTGCAACCGCAGAATGGTTGACATGTTTGCCTAAAAAAATGACTGAAAGGATTATTTATCAAAAGTAATAAGACTGTAACTGAGGAAAAACAAAAAAATAACCACTTGATCTGACTAACTCAGGCTGCTGAAGCCTCATAGTAACCTCAGCTGAACTTGAAAACACATTTTTGAACAGAACGAGGACTGCAGATAGATTAAAAACTGCAACATGAGCGGATCACTTCAGGGCCAGTATGAACAGCAGAACATTTACAGGCAACCAGTAACTCTGTCAGTGCACATATGGGCATGTAAGTGTTGTTTTAAGACTGACTTAAAACTATGCTTAAAGCTTCTGTAAATAAAATGTTTCAGGAATCCAGGAATTAACAGACATCTGTAGTGAAATGTCAACTGACTAGACACACCTGTTACCAGACACTTCATGTTATCATTCCACATGAGCTATAAAGCAGGAACATGTAGAGTGTGTGTGTATGTGGTTCATGTACAGTGGCTAATGTTATATACACTCTGCAGTGTTGCTCCCACATAAAAGGACTGCCGGGGTCAGAGGTCTCTCTCTTTCTCTCACACACACACACTCACACACTCACACACTCACACACACACACTCACACACACACACACACACACACACACACACACACACACACACACACACACACACACACACACACACACACAGCTTTTTGTTCTGCTGAGTGTGTGTTCTCAGTACATGACCCGCGCTGTTTACATCCTCATTTCCGGCTTTGTTGATGACCCACGCTACATCTCTGGAACTAACAATGACCCCCGTGCAGACCCGACAGTGACCCTGGTGAATTGAAAGCGGCTGCATGTGTGTTTTTGTGTTTATGTGTAAGTAAAGTTGTACTTGACCGCTCTTCCCTCCCCAAATCGAGAGATCGTAAACCCCCGTCCCCTCTACTATTTTCCCAACTTCCCCTCCTCTGACGACCTCGCAATTTGTCTCTGTCCCACTGGCATTTGGAATCTTTCCGTGACATCAGAGCTGTGTTGACTGTAAACAAGTTCCCTCTTGGGGAGACTAAGCTAAAAGGGAAAATCAGTGGGAATGGGGAGCTATAAGCACCATACTGGCTCCTCCTCCTCTAACCCTTTCCTGTAATTTCCTATCCTGTGATCTGCCAAGAACAATGAAGAAATCATCGGGTGAAGATCTGAATGTATGAGGATCTGTTTTATCCTGGTAGTCCGACTGAATTGCTGTATTGTTTAATTTTAATTCTTTTTGAATACCTGAAATTGGAAATGCTAGCAATCATTATTAATGACATTTTATCCAAACATTCATGATCCCCAGAGTATGAATTCTTCTGAATTTAGTGATCCCCTGACATTTCAGCTAGCACCATCATAAGGTTGACATGGTTGATTTTTGTTTTTTTTTGTGAAATATCTTCACAAATATTGGATGGATTGCCATAAAATTTGGTTCAGATATTCAATGGTGCTGTGATGATACATTTTCATGACTTCGGTGATCGAACGTTTCCTATTGTGCCACGAGCAGGTCAAAATTTTCACTTATAGGAATTATTGACTTGATGGATTGGCACATGTTTTTCAGACACTCATGGTCACCAGAGGATGAAGCTGAAAGACGTTGGTGATCCCCTGATGTTTCCTCTAGCACCACCGTGACGTTGATATTTTTGGTTTACCGACGGTTTGCCGTGAAATTATTGATGAATTGTAATATGTCTGATGATCCTCTGACTTTGTTCGATACTTTAGTTTTGTCGTAATTTGTTCATCTACCAATGACATCAGCCTCAGCTATTTGTGGTAATTAGCTAAGTTGGTGAACGTGTTAAACATTATCTGATAAACATCAGCATGTTAACGTTGGGATTGAGAACATGTGAGACTGCTGATATTAGCATTTAGCTCAAAAAGCAGTGTTATGCCCACGTACAGCTTCATAAAGCTGCTAGCCTGGCTGTAGACTCTTTTTTTCTGCTTCTTAAATATTATTCATTTAAAAGCCAAAAGCTTCTGCTTAATAAATAGGGAATGGAAAAATATATGTTTCTTATAATTGGCCCTAAACTGTAGAAATGGCTGAAGATGCTGAAAAGCTGGTAACCCCCTGGTTTATAGTGTTAGGTGATGTTATACAGAGGATTTCCTACCGCTGCTGAGGGCCAACAGCTGCTGTAAACATTGTTGGGGGTCGTCTCTGCAGAACCTTATTTCAAAACCTTGTTAGACTGTAGTTTAAAGTCACAACTGAAATGGAAAGTCAATTAAAGGAAAGAGTTGTGTAAAAGCAGATCAACAAGTCTCTGAAAAAAGGTCCTTTTAGACTTTAAACTGGAGCTTTCAACAGCATCAGCATCTTTGTCAGCAATCTGAACAAACTCAATTTGCTCAGGAAGCTCTCAAAAAAGTGAGTAAGTGGAATTTGAGTGAAGATTGTACTTTTTGTCAAACCAATGTTTTCATTTTGAGGGAGCTAAGTAAATTTACCAGCCAGAGAACAAAACTGCTTGGATTAAAAGAGGAGGCTTGAGACATTTATCAAAGAGAAGGACAAGAAACAAGTTGACGTGAGACCAGACATCTAACATATGTCAGGGCAACAGGCAGCTGTATGTTTAAGTACAAGCAGGTGAGAAAGCTCCAAGCCACTTACTTTAAGTACTTAAGTTCTTTGAAGGTAAACATTCAAGGTTTAAAAGGAGCCTGTCTGATTTGTGAACACTGACTTGTGACCTTCTAGTAAGACAATCAGACTCTATAGTAAATAAGTACAGAACTTTATTTTAGGGATAGCGTACTTGGAATTAAAGTGGACACACACACACACAGAAACATACAAAAGGTATGCAATTGAGTACACAACAGAAATTGCTCTTACCATCCCAGGCGTCAAACATATCAGTGATGAAGTAGTCTATGAAGGAGATCTGAGATTTGGGCACGCTGCAGGTGTTCCTGTCAAACACTGGCATCACCACCGGCAGCCCTTGTCTCTTTTCCTCATCTGTCTGCAGGGCAAACACACAGATCCCAAGGAAGTCACAATGGCGAAGGTAAATGCGCACAATGAAAATGATCACAAGAAATAAATGCATGCCTCCCTTTACAGGTGCAGTACATTTCTCATCTTTAGCTGCATTTTTTTTATTAAACTGTATTAGTATTCCCACACCTGTGCAAAATACTCCTCAGAGATCCGTCCAGCCCACTCGATGCAGAGCTCGAGCGGTCTGCAGGGATTTGCCACATCTGCACACTTGATCAACATCCTCTTTATCAGCAAACGGTTCTCTGGAGAGTTTCTGATGTTGGCCTGACCCTCGCAGTCGCTGTTCATGCTCTGCATGAAAGACACAAAAAGCATAACCATGCAGAAAAATAATACATGCACACTATTCAGTACTTTCTGTTGGCATACTCATACACACATTGAGTCTTTTTAGTAACATGTCTGTACATTTCCTGAAAAATGTACGCTTTAATTTGGCACTAATTATAGGTCAAATTCAACCTGCACTTTCCAATTAATTAATTCCAGTTAGTGTTTGTAGAGTAACCCACAGTCTTTAGACAGTGCATCGTAGGTAAGCTGAACAAGCAGAAATGTGAATTGTGTCTGCAGGAAAGCTCACAGATCAAAATATCTGTGACTAACTAAGCACCACACTTACACTGGTCTCCTCTATGGCAGCCATCGGCTTGTTGATGCTGTTGACAAACTTGCTGACGTGCTCAAAGTGTCTGGTCATCTCTGTAGCCAGCACCATGTCAATAATTGCCTGTCGCAGTGTTCTGAACTGATTTCTGTCAGCAGTGAAGGGGATAAAGTTAATACTAATACACCATAGGATTAATTAATGTCACGTACTATTGATCATACTACATGCTTAGACTGAATGTACAACACCGCCACAAACTGCTACTACTGACCTGTCTGTGTTCTTGAAGATGTTGCTCTTGCTGTCTCGGACAGTGAGCTGGAAGGCGAGGGCTGCGTGGTGGCTCTCCAGCACAGCTGTGTCATTGTAGAGGATCGCCAGTTCACTACCGGCGTTACACAGGAAGGAGTTTGTCCTGCCTGGGTGGTCCACATCGTGCACTGTGGCTGCTATCAGTGCCGCCACTTCATCCAGCTGATCCAGACTGCTCTGAATAAAAGAGCAGAGAGACAGAGGGATGTCAGTACTGGAAGCATACGGTAAATGTTTTAACTAAAAGATTGTCAGTCATTCCAACTGTGTGTTTTTCTTCTAACCTTGACTCTCTCTTTGCGTAGGAAGTAGGCTGTAGCGTGCAGCACGTCTGCGGCATGTGTGGAGTTGTGGTAGGAGTTTGAAGAGTGGTAGCTGGCCTCAATGACCTGCAGCCAGGAGCGCAGCGTGGCCTCCGAGCAGTTCAGGAACTCACACACACCGAAACTCGTGAAGATCTTCAGTCCGAGGTAAGTCAGCGGTCTGCAGAGGATCACACAAAAGACTGGGTGAGTGCACAACATGGGGAGGGTACTAAATGTTCTCCTATACTTTACCCAGTAATTCTGTGTTCTGTACTTTTTGCTTCATCACGGCATCTTTGTTATCCATTCCTCCTGCACCATGCTTTAAATGGTCTTTTTTACACATTGCATAATTTTATGAGTTGAATATCTTTACACACTTAATCAATTGACATCTAATTAGTTGCTGTAGTTTCAAAATATGACAAAAGTTGACTTTCTGTAGGTAGAATCTGAATTTTGAGTTAGATGAGAATATCAATACTCCTCATGTCAACCCATTTTCCCCAAGTCTTTATGCTAAGCTAAGCTAATCTGCTGCTTGCTGAAGCTTCATAGTTTCTGTACAGATATAAGCTTATACTGTGCACCCAAATCTAAATCGAACTATTCCTTTAATGCTCGTGCTTATGGTTTTTTAAGGAAAGATGTCAAAAACTTCATCGACACATTTGGTTTCCTTCAGAATTTACCAAACTTTTTGAAGGTGGTGCCAATTTTGAGGATGCAAAAGATGTGTAACAATAAATCAAGTAACTGCTGGAGTGTTAACTAAATTAAATGATTACCAGGCAACAAGCAATAAATTACCTTTTCTAAACATTTTTCTAAACTTCCATTTTGGCTGCCTCGATTAAGTTTCCCCCATCTTCGTACCTCTTGTGTGTAGCTGCCTCCAGCTCCAGGATGTTGAACTCCCAGCACTCCTCATCATTCAGCATCTCAGCAATGGGTGGAGGGACGTCATTCAGAGTGATTGGGATGGCCAGCTGGCTCGGGCTCATATCTAGCAGGTAGACAGAAGCGTGCACGGACAACACACACATACGAGGTTCAGGGTGATTTGACCATAAAAGGGGCAAACAGAGAGAGAGCTCTGTGTGGGATTTAATGGATAAATCATGGCAGCCCAATCTTGGCTCCTTAACATCTATATACATGTGCAAACATACTGGCCAAGTGTCTGGCTTTGTAAATCTGGTTCGTTGAGACCATGGTAGAAAGATGTTGTGTGATAAGATTGTTTAAAGAACTGTATGAGGGCAGAAGTAGCTGCCACTCTGAAATGAGTACACTGTTTTCAACTTGATGAAACATAATACAACTTCTTGGAAAATAGACCCTTGATTTAGATCTTCTCTCAGTTAAGTGCTCTTGTGACTTTAATCATTATAATGAGGATTGCATAATAAACTCAGATGAAAGAATTCACCCTCTAGAAAGCTACAAGAACAGTGTGATGCTATCATTCAGACAATAACCACCTGAAACATACCATGTATTCATGAGATTCAGCAAACCTCATGTTCCATAATCTCTGTGATGATGGCGGCCACAGGCTAAAATGTCTGCACTCCTACCTGTTCTTAACTCATTAACATTAATTCAACACTGTTTGGCTTTTCTTTGTCATCTTTTAGAGTGTGAACCTGTGAGGGAGGTAAAGTAATTACAAGAGCGCTGCTAATGTGTCTAGCCGCTTAAAAGGGATATTATTTTTATATTTTCCTAATTGTCCCTAATGCTTATTTCATTTGATGTGTTTTTCTGTCACATAAATTGCAAGTTCAGTGCAGTTACCGGTTATGATTACTCTTCAGTCTTAAGATTTGACCCTCCAACACAGACGTTGGGTCATGCACAGTATGGTACGTAATTACAAGATGGAAAACATGAGTCAGTTGTGGGTAGTATTCAATAGTCCCCAGTGTGTCCCTTTTCATTTCTCTGGTTGGTTTGGCATTAACAAGGTGATTCTTCCATTTCACTTCATCAAGGTTCGGAAAAACAAAACATTTCTGTGGCTGACGTGATATACGCCAGAAACCCTGGCAATGCATTAGTGTAGATGTAGGCTACAAAACTTTACAAAATATCACCTGAATACACGTCCAGAAACCTATGCTTATTGAATTAATGGCACCTGTAAAAGGAATAGCTTAGCATTTTGGAAAAGGGCTTATTTGGGAGTTGATTAGCTTAGCTTAGCATAAGCTAAGCAAACAGATATAAGAGTGGTCTTGGTCTTCTCATCTCTTCTGTTTTTGCAGGGACTCAAACATTTTTACACTACTAGAATGCTATGTTTACAGTTCACTTACTGTGTTTTTTATTAGAGCACATCAGTTGTAGCATCTCTCTGCATAACGTCTACCTGGGCAGAGGTCTAATCCTCTGAAACACTCACCATGTGATTTGTGTTGTGTTGTTCTATTGATAAGTGATCTTTGATACAATGTGGCAATTCAGTGGTTCTTACTTACTTTTGCAGAAGACATATTCATTCCCAGAGAGTCTACGCAGCCCATCCTGGAGAGAACCCCCCCACCCACAAACAACAGGAAATGGTTGAATTAATTGTAGAAAAACAGTAAGAAACTTTTGGTTCATCTAAAGCAAATTATAACATCAAAAAACTTTCATGAAAAGCTTTAGCTCCATAGTTCCATTTAACTCTATAAAAAGAATGGGAAAATGTATAAGTCTGGTATTTTTCTTTTTTATTTATTGTCAACAAACCCCATGAAAGGACAAAAAACAACACCGTGTATGTGTCTCAATACTTTCTGACTTCTGAACCAATATCATTTGTTTCTTCTTAAGACATAATCTTAAAAAATAGCTCACAAATATAAATTGCACTGTTTTTGAAAAAGGATTAGTAATTTCCTAAAACAGCTGGTTACTGTACTTTTTAGCCACCGTTTCTCAAACAGGAGGAAATAGTGCATTTGTTGGGGACTATTTTCAGCAGCGGATTAATGCACATTTGGTGCTGAAGTGAGTATTTGGAGCAGCAGGACGATGTATATGTGTATGTGTTGTAATGAAGGAATATGTCACCCAGTGCCACTGTGAGGCTCAATGATGTGTTTTTGGACACCACCGTACTCTATGGCTCAAAGGAAAAAGATATATCAGACTTTGGATACACAGACTATACTTGTTTGTAGGATCAATTCATTGTAGGCTTTGGTATTTTCATGGGATTTGTAGACAAAAATAATAAAAATGCCTATAAAGTGAATAATTTAGCATACAAAAGTTTTCTGCAGTTAACTGATCTGAAAACATTCAACTCTGTCTTCAGAAATAAACATCTGCATGCAATAACTCACCTCATAGTTGGTCTTATTCAACAAATAAAAAAATAAATAATAAACAAAGACTCTGTTGGCACTTCAAAAATTACAGATTTGATTTGATTTTGGAAGCCAAAAATTTCTTGGTTCAACAAGAATGCATGTTCAGTTACATGCGCATGAGGTCAGAACATTTTTACAATGTGATAAAAAAAAGACAGTATTTCTAACCATTCCTTATAAAGAGTTTGAAGCATACTTATGAATGAACTCAAAAGTATATAATAAATATCTACACTGCCTCTTACATTCATGAGCCCCCCAACCAGGTCGTTGGTGTGGGGGTCATCTTCTTTGGAGGCGAGCTGAGGGGAGTAGAGCTCGGTGGTTCTCAGGATCTCCAACACACGATCCAGTGCCTCGGCTACTGTTACTGGACTGTTCTCCTGGGCTGCGTTGATGATGTTTATTACCTGGGGAAGAAGAAAAAGAAAAGTCCCAATTCTGCTGCAAAACAGAGTCCTATGCAAGACATGCCGTAACAGAGTGCTCCTTTCTTTGTGCGTGCTTGACAAATCTGGTCTGGGCCAAAACAACTAAATAAAGAGGTTTCTAAAGACACACAAGGGCATCACAGGACCTGCAGCAGGCAGAGCGAGACAATGTGACATACTGTACACTGTATTTTTATCAAACTATGATCCAGCCTACAGCTTGACCTGGGTTTATTGCTCACAGCATCTTCACATCATGGCCCTGTTCTTCAAATGTGACTTAACTAATTCAGCCTTACATGCTTTTATCAGGCTAATTATTTTCTTCTCATCCAGCTAGTTTGGTTCTTTGAAAGTGGTTTGAGAATTGATTTGTTGGACCTATGTAGACTTGAATAACAATGCGCTCTTATTTTGAAATAAAATGTGTAGAGAGCCGAAACCTTGATCAGTGTTAATATGATTGGCTGAGTGCTGATCATGTGTTTGCAGGTACATGAGGGTAGGTGTGTTGGGAACCATCCCAGCTTGCACTAGGACAATTATAGCTTTACGGACATAAGTCTAATTTTCTTTGTTCCTGCATTGTTCATGGCCATTTTGTTCTATATTGTGCTTCTACATTTTCATCACTGTTAAACATTTGATATTAACAGCTGGATTTTAAAAGTATCCAACCAAACAAATCCCACCCCCTTCTTTTCAGGCTTTCCTCCAAAGCAACTCCACCAAAATTTTCATGCACAATGAGTTCTCGGACAAAGGACCAGGCAGGTAGGCCAGACAATTATTAAATTATTTCATGCTTTGACAGTCCTGCGACAGCCACGGATACAGGATATTTCTCAGTTTTGCAGAGTAATTCCTACAATGAAAGAAACATTTGTGTTTTAAAGTGCTTAATGCACAACTTGCATAAGTGATTTAGAATCAGATTCTTCATTTAAAGACAGCCCTTGCAGATGATAGTTTTCCTTGAACCATTTCTTGATCTTCTTAGCTGTTTGGAAGAGAAATTTTTGAGTGTCATCTCTTTTGTTTTACTTAACCGCTAACAGTTGGTTGAAGCATGTTAGACCGCAAAAATCTTTTTGATGTTGTTTAGTTCAGAGCACTTACTGAACAAAATTATTTACATCCATAATCCAGGTCTGATGACTTTGTAATCATTTTTTAATAACACACTTGTGCAATTGGTTGAGCTGTTCATTAATGGTAAAAGTAGTATTTTTTAAACAAAGCTGAAAATGATCATGAAATTCAACCTTTTCTGACTATAAACTGTTGTCAATATGGTAAACCTAATATTATTCCATTGTAAAAATTTTTCAGTTCAGCATTTCAGCATGTTTTTAGAGAAATGTTGAGTGAAAATGTAACTTCATCGAAAACACAGTAAATCCAGGGTGATACAGCTACTCCTGCTAATAATGATTAAACAAAGCCAAATTTAAGCACAATAACCGTTGTAGACAGTGACAAACCTAACTCTGGTCACTGGGGCTGGTGCAACATTTTGAAAATTGAAGTGTAAAGGAATTACTTTTATGTTTTTATTGCGATTCCAATACAAGTCAGCATTGCTTTGTTGAAACCCCCAAAAAGAGGATGAATAAAAACAAAAACACTGTTGAGCTGTGGCAGCAAAAGCAGAGCAAGTTTGATCTAGTTTTAATAAAGATTATATGTAAAATTAAATAGAATTTCTCAAGTTTTTACATGAAAGAGGTATGAAAAATGGTCTTTTATTTCACTTTAATAGAGAGAAAAAATGCAGACTGTTAATAGTGCACCATTTCTGTAAATGGGTATCTAGGCTCATAATCAAAAATGTATTCCCCCTGTTTTTGCTGGGTGGGACCATAGGATGTTAAAAAATGACTGAATGCTGAAATTAGCGTACCTTGGTGATGGGAGCCTCGATAGTCATGGAGTGAATCCTGGCGATAGAGGAATATCTTCGATTCTGTAAACTGGGAGCTGCAACTCAGAAAAACAATGATTTTTTAAACATTACGATAGTGTGGCTCATTGATCATCTAATATCTAACATCATTAATTCTATAACTGCATTAACCTGCAATTGTTATCCCTCATCAAAAGGATTATGAATGGAAGGCAGAAAAGGAAAGGATGTGTAGAAAATGTAAGAGTAAATGTAAGAGTAAATGTTAACGTAAGGCTAATGAGGGACGAGAAGAGAAAATACGAGTGATTGAAGAAGAAAGAAGCAGACAAAGCCGAGCAGAAGAAGCAGTAAGCTGAGATACCTGAAAATAGCAGCAGCTGTGTCAAAGTGAGTTGAGGAGGGAGGTATATAATGTCATCAACCCACGACATCTCTCTAAGATCTCTTTAGTTCAAGTACCTACCATAACAGTCTGACTCATTCCCTTCGTCACACCATTCTTCATCTCTTTTCTCGCCTGATTCTTCCTTTGTGCTCCTGCTTTTACTCATTTTCTCAGTTATCTCATTCTTCTAATGCTCTTTCCCTGTCGTTTTCTGTCTCTACTGCTTTTCAGCCCTTCAGAACGGCACAAACCGGAGCTCCACTCATTCAAACAGAGGCTCAAATAAAACAATGCATTTTGAATGTTCTCACCGTCACTACCACGAGAGCTGAGCGATCTGGCATCAACTGAATCTTTCCTCCTGTCCCGGTGGCGTAGAGAATGGCAGTCTGTAGAGAGAATTAATGAACATTAAATGTAAAGTATGTTTAGACTGATAAAGCTGAGTCTCAGTGCTCTTTTTCATTTCAAAGATAATATATTTTGCTCCTGAAGCATTTTAAAGTCTTGTCCCAGTTTGTGCCTCTCATGTATTATATAGTATAATATGTAGTATAATACATCTGGACATGTGTGAATATGCCCATCTAATTGAATTGAATTGAATTGAATCTCATAATACAGTATATGCATATGGAAAATGTTAAATATGGTGAAGAAAAAGGAAATGTTGCATGCAATACATAAACAAATAAATGTGTGCCAAGAAAATTACATAAAAACTAAAATTAACTTTTACTTTTTAAACCAAATGAATTCAAGGAAAAGTAAGCTTTATATTTCTTTATTATCTACACACTATCTACACACTTATATGAACTAGCCATGATAGATACATATAGAGAGAGATATACAGAGAAATATATATATATAGAGAGAGAGAAAGATAGATTTCTTTTTACCTATCTAATAAATATATCTATACCTATCTCTGTGGTTCAGAGGTAATGGTATAACACAGGATTCACAAACTGGGACTAATCTACATCACACTATTCTATAATTATGGTTATATAAAAAAAATATAGCTGCCTAATTAAGAGACTCTGGAAACATTAGAGCATGTCATGTGATAAGTTACCTGACTGAGAATGTTCCCCGCTGCATCTCTCCTCCTTGTTGAACTTGTGGACCTGACAGACAGAGAGAGCAGGACGTGATTAAAGTTGAGGTTTGGACTACGATCACGAGTCACTGTTGGTTCTCCTTTGCTGTGAGGAATATAATCAGCCTAATTTCCTGCTCCTTGAAAGCAACACGCTGGCAGGATTTACTTCTGTTGATTAAAGACTTAATGTGAAGCAGCTATTTGATGTTCTTTCTACTTTGAACATATCTTTTCATCTCACCTCAACAACCCTTTGCGTTTTACAGAACAGAAATGTTTGATATTTACACTTCATTCTCTTTTGTCATGTTTAATTTCCTATGGCATTAAAAGATTCTCAGTGACCGATGAAGCCATGTGTGAACAACACAGAGAGTTAAATGAATCAGTGGAGTTAGGACGGGTTATCCGAGAGACTACCAGTGAGATGTGCCTGTAGGCAGGGGATAGAAAACAAACCAGCATGACTGACAGCTTTTGAGGATCAGCAGGGGGAGATGTAGAGATGTGCTGCAGCACTCGCAATAAGGAGCAGTGCAAATGGACAAAAAAGCTAAAATTAGTTTTGTTTGTATACTATATTTTGTTTCATTGCATTTCTGAAGATTGTGAAATAGCTATGTTTTTAGATGTCATTATAATTCTGTAGGGCAGTGGTTCTCATACTGGGGAGGTGTAGAGACACTTCAGGAGGGTTGTGCATATTGAGCGGACCTAAAGTTGCATGAATATGATTCATGAGGTGACATGAACATAACAAAAGTGCTCTGATGCTAACAAGGTTATTTTGCGAACCTGAATGATGTTAATTTCACCTGTATTGTTAGTGATTGATAAAAATTAAATCCAATTTTTCTGGGTTGGGGAGTCATGAACCTTTTTGGCTTCTCAAGGGGGGCGTGACAGAAAAAGTTTGAGAACCACCGCTTTAGGGTAAAGAGGGAACACAATGACAGAACTGCAATCTCATTTTCTGTTACACAGTTTGCTGGCCAGCTTGCAAAAAATTAAACCCTCAACTTCACTGTTTCTGCAGTTAATTTAATGAAGAAAATCAGACAAAATAATCTGTTCAGTCATCAGCAGGTGACTGCCCGAGTGCCAAAGCAGAACGCTAGAAGAGGAGACCAAATACCAAAACATTTGCATGACAAAACTATTTACTATTATCTTATATATTACAATATTGCTTGACTTTATTAAATGACAGCTTGTGATTTACAAAAATGATAATTATAAATGTAACAAAATGTTGTTTCTGAGCTACATAACTGTACCATAACTGTGAACCTTAAAGAACATTTTCCCATGTTCATAATAATGTTTTCATGGAGGTGACAATTTGCACAGAACATCCTGTTAGTCACACTCAGGTTAGGTAGATATGGATATCAAGAGCCTCTAATTCGATTACAGAAGATTTTCCTCACCCTGTGACTCACTGCACCTTTACATCTTGCTGACAGTGCAACCTGCACCATTAATGTAACGATTAATGCATCCATCTATGTTGTAAATTTATTAATACTTATGTACAAAAATGTAATTTTGATTAAGAGAAAGGTGTTTCTGAAGTGTTTATCAATTACATTTCATTTTTCACTCTCACATAATTGCTCATTTTCTCTTTTTACTGGCTCCTAAATTTCTAAGTCGCTTGCTCTCAGGTCTCTAGTGCGTCCCGTACTGAGTAAATAGGATTAAGACAGTGTAAACACTTCTAATGACATACAAGGTTGCCAGCTTTAGCTGGCTATAGCTTAATGGGCTTCTTGGGCTGCAAAGCACAAACAGACATCTAAAAAAACATCTTTTGAATTAACTTGACTAAAGCTGGGAAATAGTTGAGATTATGATGGCCCTTAATTGAAAGGGAAAGACAAACAAAACTGACCCTATAAGTCTGGAGTGCTTAGACAAGTACTGCTAACTAAACAACACAATGAAATGGAAACCGTAGTCTACAGCCAAACGTCTGGGTGGGAAAAGATGTGGAATACTGTGTGGTTTAAAGTGCTCAGAGAAAATGTCCTAAGCAAGAATACAGTATCACATCTGCGCTATCCTGATAGGACCTCTGAGGCCCCGACAACATCATAAAGTTTAAAATGTCATCAAATACCAAACTTTTGTTCCTACTTTGCATCAGTTCCGTTCTATAAATTTGTGGTGAAAATGCATTTTTTAAAAAGGGGGACACCCTTTTTGTCCACTGCACAATTCAGGCTGTGGGGATGACTTCCACGGCTTCAAGAATGGGATCAGTTGCTGCCATGTCTAAGGATTCCCGATCCCAACAAGCTGGAATGAATGCCATTTGGATTTGGCAGGCAGATGCCAAAGGCTGACTCACCTTATGTACACACGATGAAAGAGAGCAATGAGCCAAAGCTAGTCTGTGTACAGCTTTGCCTTGAGTATAAATAGCCCTGGCGCCTGGCTGCTAGCCCTCCCAGGCCTTAGCGGGGGATCCTGGTGCTTAGCTGTAGCTTAGCATAGTATGACGTTATTGGCCTGGAACCCAGCTGAGAGCAGCGACGCACCTGCTTCAAAGTAAGTGTGCACACTGCTCAACAGAGCTGGAAGGCTACATGCCCTGTTGAAGTATTTAAATCTGACACTTTACCCTGCACTTCATTTGAAGTATTTATGTAAAACTAACTGCCAGCAGAGTTTGCAATCTATGCTTGAGTCCAGTTTGGACTCGTTCATTTCTCCACCAGGCTTGATTGTGCCAAGCTGTGCTGTAGCATTAGGACTGCTGAAGGACTGACATTTGTTCAAGCTCCACAAAAAAAACATAAAGACAACTTACTGTAATCTTCAAAAGTGGGCTTATAAGTCTAAGGCTTTTGTAAATTAAACTTTGTAGCAGCAATATTTTCTTCCAAACCAGTACTAGTAGGCTTGTAAGCTAAGGATTGATCATTTGAGCGTACTAATCAGCATTTTGGACACATCTCAGTGGAAGTGGTTTAAGATTTCAAAGTGTTGCTAATGTGCAGGCGCCATTCATTTTTGAGTTGGAATAAAGCAGGCAAAGAAATGGTGGTGCAGGTTTGACTTTTTCCCCCTCAGGTACCTGGATGAGTCAGTGATGAAAGATCAAGACTTTTGTACGAACATCTACTGCTCTCAGGAGGCTTCCAGATTTTATCAGAGTGTAGTTAAAGAGCTAATTAAACTGATTACTGCATTTCAGTACACCAAAAAGAAAACTACAAGATGATTGGAAGGAAATGGATCAGTTAGGCACATAGAAAAACATTAGATTATCACTTGACTCACCTGATTATTGTTGTCAACATGAGCTCTCTTGATGGCTACAAAATGTCGAATCTTCCTGTTGGAAACGAGATAAGAATCTGTCAGTAATATCTGATTTATTGGAAATGTACAGTGACCACCTTGGGTTGATTAACTTACCCTCCTTGGCCGATGACAGGTGTTATCTTCACTTGCTGTTGTATACTGTCGCCTGACTTCTTTCTGGCATAATAAATACCCTGCCATTCCTTCAGAGACAACAGAAAAGTCAGGCAATGACACAGTATCGTCTCATTTTACAGATAAGTAGATAGGAGGATGGATGGATGTGGGACTTACCTTTCCTTTTTTGATACAGGTGTTGATTGTGTCCAGCAGGTCAGCTCTGTTCTTGTCACTCTTGGGGAGCTCTGTCAATTCCTTCCCGATCAACTCCCCCTTGTGGTAGCCCATCATCCGCTCGAACGCTGGGTTCACGTACTGAGACAAAACCAGGAAGACGATGAAGTCTAGCAATGGGTTAGGGTTATTTTTTGAAAATAAATGTATTCTTTTGTATTGCCTGTGTAGCCAAGGCCTGATATAACCAACCCCTCCAAACCACTGACTGTAGCGCACCATATCCACTGCTGAAAATAGCCCCCAACAAATGCACTATTTACTCGTTTACTGATAACTACGGTGCACAGCTGATTTTTATTTTAAAATATAACTTTGTGATGTACATCTTCAAGAGTGCCACAGACAGGCTGGGGAAGTCAGAAAGATTAGAGGATGATACATTGTTGTTTTTTTTATTTTCATGCAATATGTTTAAAATAATAAAAATATAGAATATCAACAATATAAAGGAAAAGTTTTAAGATTTTGCTCATTCTGAGTCATGCAAATTCTGTATGTATGTGTGTGCATTATCCCTACCTGTATTATGTGGTCCTCACTGGTGATCTCCACCGCCTCTTGGCAGTGCTCCAAAGCTGTGAAGACCGCGTTACAAGCCCTGCGGATGAATAAAGCCACAGCATCTCAGGATTAGTAACACCACCTTGTATCTGTGTCTGCGCATGTATGTGTGACTGCATGGTATGTGCGTCACAAGGTGTTTTTCCTATGCTGTACCTGAGTTTGAACTGGCAGCGCACCTCTCCGTGTTCAATCTGTACGAGCTCATTATAGCAGGCTGACACACTGCTGTTCTCCACAAACCTCTGGAGGCCAAACAAGGTTAAGTGGTGTTTGAAGGGGGAAGGAGAGAGAAAGAGCAGTGGGAAATTGAATGAGTCAGGATTTACTCAGTAGCGACTTGTTTTGCTGCCTCCTACGTCATTTTCACACCATCAAACACTGCTGACAATAAGTGCCTCTTTCAAAACTGGCAACATGCTGCTATTTTAGCATCTGATGTCTCTTTGAGGGCCAATAAAAATCATCTATGAGAAACAAGGATAACACATTCAGTCTGCTATAAACACACAGTCACAAGCTAAGGCATGTGGTTGGACGTACTCTGCTAAATCCAGCACAGAGGAGAGGAAGGACAGATGGCTCGTCCTGATCAGCAGGTCTGTACAATGATGGAAAAGAATCATTACCAACTGCAACAAAGGGATTTTTCAGAAACATGTGTGGTCCACACCATTGGTCCACACCATTATAACAAATTTTGCAGTTTAAAGGCCCTGAAAATGTATTTTCTTAATCAGCTTTTTACTATGTGTGATGGGAATCTGCAATACATGAACAGAGTATTTCCTGCCAAAGTTACAACAATTTAGGTTATTTCACACGACAAATTCCTTTTTTTGTCTTGTCTCTTCCCACTGGTTTGAAATGGGTGGGGCTCAGTTGGAGATGCATGGATACCTGGATATACACCTATAGACCTATGAACCTGTTGTGCACCCTCAATTTCTGTGTAACTTCTGTGTAAGAGTGTGTGTGTGTACATGGCTCATTTTAAAGAAAAGTACCTAAAATGACTATTTTCACAAAAGTTTCTTAACAAATTTAAATTTTTGAATTTGAAAGAGCCTGTCAAAACATATTTCATAAACATTTTACTTTGTTGGTAAGCTAACTTATAATTGCTTTATCACACTTATTAGTAGTGATGAGTAAAATTTACTATGTCAAGCTCACTTACCATATGATTTCTCTTGAGTACTACATGTAACACTCCGCCCCACCCGCCATAGAAACCTCAGACCAATCAAAACTATTCTAACATGTCAACTAGTGTTGTAACAACAGTGCAAGATCAGTAACTGTGATTGGCTGTAGCCTACTACAACAGCTCACACTGAAAATGTATTATAATGTACATTTCCACAGCAGTAATCCATTGATAAGGGAGAGGAAAAATGAGTGCTGTGAAACAGATATTACACTGAATGTATCAAGACAACAAAAACCGTGGATGAGGTCTTGAGTTTGCATTAAATCATTGAGGTAAATGCAGATTTAACAGTAAACTTAATTTTTCAGTGTTAAACTCAATAAACTTATTTACTTACTTATAAACTTATTCAATATTTTTTTAATATTGATTGTTGGTAATGTTACAGATATATACTTAAGATTGGAAGCCAAGTCTTCAGGGACTTAATCACACAAAACACCTTTAACACAGGAGGATAAGAAAATCCACAAAAGCTCAAATCAAACTTACTTTTGTGGCACAACGGCAAGAACAACTGTGTTTTCAGAGGGCTTTGTGGCGCGGATCAGCCTGGAAATAAAACAAATGTGAATTAAAAGTCAGCCGGAGTTCATTTCATCCACACTTTGAGCTCATGAGAAGTGGCTTAGACTCAGGTACAGGATCAACATGTGGGCAGATTGGGGGTGATGTCATTGCCACAAAAGAAAGGCAGAGCATTTCTGCGCTTTGCACAGAAACACCAAACACACCATCTGCTTCAGAGGTTTGGCCACAAAGCCACACTGCTGGCAGGATGTACGGGAAAGTGGCCCGGAGGCGGAGGAGGAAAGAGGACAGTGATGGAGGACGAAAGAAGGAACAGAGGGAACAGATGATGGGGGATAAGGATGGAGGAGGTGAAAGGAAAGAAAAAAACTGTGACGAGGAGAGGAGTGAAGTAGCAAAGGACAAACAGGGAACAGATGCCAAACTGTGGTGATCAGAAGACAGGAGAGATGAATGGATCTGTTCCTTTACATGGGGAAATAATGAAGCACTTATAATAAATCATTCTACAAAATACATAGTGGTGGTTTTTAGTGCTTCCAAGAACTTTGGATGGGCTAGTACTGTATCTAACAATAACATTGCCCTCTGCAGAAACACAGAAATAGTCTTAGCTAACAATAATGAGGAATATGTATCCTACCATTTCACCAGCTTAATACCCAAGCTGAAAAGCAAGGACATAAATAAAAAATCTTTACAGATGTCCTTGTAATGATGCCCAGAAAGTATTCACACAGGCATTAAGACAACCATGGGACACACATTAACACTTTGATTCATAGAAATCTCCATTCACATGCCCTAAACACAAGCCAATTGTTCATAGATGTGAAAAAGCAGATGAAAAAGTACTTCTTAAATGCATCTTGAAATGCCCAGGCACACTAGAAAGTAAGAGAGGACAATCTAAGCACAGACCAGTATTGCTAGTATGAACTCAGCTAACACCTAGAAAGAACAAGGGGTGAATGGGGTTATTTTGCAATCAAAAAAGTTTCTGAAAAGTGGCCAGGGGATTTTCCTTTTGCTGTGGAAAAATGGACAAGAATGAAAGAAAGAAAAAAAAACATATTTTTTAAGCTTCTACATGTGTAATACTTTTGGTTCCCCTGGGCCACTATCAAGCTTTCATGTCAACAAACAAACTCACAATTTGTAGTTCAGGCTCACTCAAGTGCCTCTCTGTTTCAATAGCCAGTATTCACTGCTGCTTCCTTTTAGAGCTAAACACTGAATTGAGCAACCTCAAGACCGTGGGCGAACAGACTACAGTAACTCAGAGCCTGCAGCTTCAGGTTGCAGATGCCTGTGGTGCCTCCAGTGAACACCAGATGGCGCCAACAAGCCCTCCACAACAATGTCCCAAAGCTATTAGCTGTACAACTGCTCACAGACTGAACTCTTCTTGTATATTACTGCTTCTCAAGCAGAAACATCATAATTTAAGAATTTATTATTTTTGATTGAAGTGAAGGATTACATAGTCTTTGTTATAGAAATTATCAGACCCTTTTGGCAGACGAAGCCCTTTCAAACTCTTTGTTTAATGTCAAACAGAGGCAAGCTAGCTGTTGCCCCCGTTTCCAGTCTTTGTGCTAAGCTAAGCTAACATGCTGCTGGTTGTTGCTTCATTTTTTCCATATACATACAAATGTGGAATCAATCTTCTCATGTAACTCTCAGAAAGAAAGCCACTAAACTTCCAACTATTCCTTTAAGCATCCTGTATAGGAGGAGACATTCTGCAGATGTCAGTCCTTCAAAGATGAAATAAGAAACAACTACACAGAAGCGGCGGCAGCAGACACACAGGTAAGGCTCACCGGCATACAGCCTCAGGCTCAAAGTAGCGTGAGTGGCGTCCATCAATGACTATAATCTCATGGTGCTTGTCCAGGAAACACTCAACGGCAGACTCGGGCGTCCGTGCGATGTTACACCTGAACCCAGCACGGTCGCAGGCCCACCAGAAGGCATCACTTTGGCTGTCCTCCTTGGCGAACACTAGCAGGACCTGAGGAGACAGGAAGGAATGGACGCCTGGGTGAGACAGTGCTGCTACTACAGTGATAATTATAGAATATCTGTGTTAGTAGGTCTACACTACATTTACGACTCAGACAGGACATTCTGCAGAGCAGCAGACATCCAAGATCCAGACTTCACACTTATGACACCAATGTTACTGACATTTATGGGCCTAAATAATACAGTAACTGCTGCAACTGCCAAACCTTTTTAAGATGTGGAAAATCTAAATTTAGTTTGAGCTCATTGCCAAAATTCTCCAATGTGACAGAAGCTCTCAGAGATATTTATCCTGCAAACACCTACTTCCCTTGTGAGGATGGACCATTTTTGACGGTCTAATGATTATTATCATTAGACCCTTGCAATGAAATTGAAGTCAACGATTGTGGGGCATTGTATCTGCAATATTTTACAACAAAAATACTTTTTATAGTACTAGCGAATTAATGGTACTGAATACAAAGCACTCTAAATTTAATACTGATGTGGAGGGCATGTCTCAAACCCACCTGCTGATAGAGAAATAAATACAACTACCGTTTAAAAGCAAAAATAAGTACTGCTCAAGCAGATATCACGGGTTGTATCATGAGGCGCACTGACTAAATGGCTTTGTTGTCTCACAGCAAGAAAAGTCCTGTTAATGAATCTTAGCCTTGCAATGCACAAGCAATTACAGAATACATCTCTTATAGAAGTTATCAGTAGAACCTCTCAAGATGTGCTTCTAAATATAGAAAAGACATCAAATCCTCTAGCCATGAGAAGGCAGAGGGTAGATTTGCCCTGCTCCTTTCCTCTTGTAGTTTGCATCCTCTCTCTCTGAGTATTTGTGGATTTCCTCCCGTAGTCTCATGACACATTCAGCTCAGGGGATTTGAAGACTATGAACTATCCATAATTGTAAGTGTGTTCATCCATCTTCTTCTTCTACCCTGTGACAGGCTGGAAACCTGTGCAGGGTGCCGCCATGCCTTTCGCTAATTACATGCTGGGATAGACTTCAGCAACCTGTAAAATCCTAAATATGGTGTATTTAAACAAGAATATATAAAACACCTGGGCTAAATACACCACAGCGTGGAAACGCAATGGTAATGTCTTCTTCCAGTGAAGTATCCCTTCAACATAAATGGAGGGGCACACAATCACTAATGAAGGCTGTGTTTCTGTGTTTCACACAAACAGACATGAAGCCTGCAGGGTGGGGACTCATGTTTTTGATGCCACACTGTGTTCTGACCACAAAACACACCAGCCACCTTTGGTTCAGTGGTGAGGAAATACAACTCTGTAAGAGAAACATAAAGGACATGCACACACACACACACACACAGCTGGGCTGCAGCCAGAACCAACAGTACTCAGCTCTGCCTCGCAGCAGCATCACCTCCTGACTCTAAGGACAACAAAGGATAAAATGACATGAGGGAAGTGCAGCAGAGAGAGAGAGGGGGAAAAGAGAATGAGTGATTGGGTGAAAAGAGTAGAAGATGCCTAATGTCGTGACTCCCTACACTTCCTGTATAGTTTTAAACTCAGGAAGAGAGTGGTTAATAGCGGGACATCTGTCCATGTAGTGCTTCACAAACGGAGATATGACAGAAAAAATATAAAAGAACAGGTGAGAATGGCAGTAGAAGAAGATGTAGAAGAGAGGAACAGAGAGGAGAAAATGAGCTAGTATTGGTGAGTCCCTGTGAAAGGTCCACAGTCTTTGATCCCGTCCCGGCTTGTGTAACCATGGTGCTAACATGCGAAATTCCACACACACAGTACCCAGTCGACCCTGGGACGACGCCGACTGCAAAGATCTCTGACCTGCCACCTAAATATGTCACCAACAATGAGCCTGGTGGGAGGCGCCGTCAGTCTTAATACCACGTCTGATATACACACAGTCAAACACATGGCTGCGCTCTGTCACACCACGGTCATCTGTCTTAGGCACACACTTCCTTGAATGTAACTCATTGTAATGGTACACAAATGAATATATGTGTACACAATTACTTGGTTACAATGTCTTTAAAGTAAATACATAAATTACATTTTAACATTAATGGATGTATGTGTACACAATTACCTGATTAGAGCATCTTTAAAGTAAATACATACATTACATTTTGACAAACATGTATTCAGCTACACAGTCTCATTGGCCTAACAGTTTATATGAAAACAGTGTACAGTTAGTTTTCAGCTGGCACAGAAACGTATTCCTGATGGCTGCTGCAGGCTGACTCACATTTTCAGAGTTCAGAGGTTAATCGTCCATGTTTGCACAGCCAGGCCAGATGCCATCTAACGTTGGGAGATTCCCAAACACAGAGGTGTCATGGGGCTAACTAGCTTTGAGCACTTTATCTGTGTGGAAGCGTATCAGATAGTATATGAGGGAGGGTCAATGAGATCATGTGTCAAGTTTTTATGCCGTTATGCGAAACAGGGGCACGTTGTATAAAATATTAAAAAAATATAAAGTATGAGCTCCTTGACCATTATTAGAGTTTTTGTCAGTAACACATTCTGGTGTGCGATAACTTTTAAAATCTTACGAAAATTGTCCTACTGGTACTGGTAGAGATAAAATCAGAGTCGGTTAATCTATTTCGGTTGTTAAAAAAGTAATCAGTAGCAAGTTTATTTTGATAATGGGATGGGAAACATAAAAATGTATGACATGTGTGGTACTTTAACGTCACTTATCTGTGTAATGACACACGAGTCACTAGATAAGCCGAAGGAGGAGGTATCTGCAGAGGTTGAAACTCTCCAGGGCTGTGAGGCAGTAACAGTAAATGTCAAGGAAAACTCACTATATATAACTCTCTCCTGCAGAGCATTTTATCTCTGTCTTTTCATCTCTCCATTCCTATGAAGGAGTGAAACAGGAGAGGGCGGGTTAGGTCATGGACCCAGCAGAAGGGTAGAGGTACAACTTTAGTGGGCTGCTTTGGGAGAATAGTTTGAGGGTTTTATGGGGCATGAGACAAGGTCTTAGAAGGCTTTTTAATAAAGCCTCTGGTCCGTCCACCTGCCCGCACGCTGCCACAGATTCCTGGTGCGATGTTATTTGGCATGGTGAATAAGGAGAAGGAGGGCGAAAGGATAGTGTAGATTGGCATGATCATGAACATGGCATGCCAGGCCTCTCACATCACTGCATTGGAGAAGGAACTAAGCTGAACTCAAAAACCTTTGGAAATTGCTCAAACTAGCGCAGCTCAAACCGAAGCAAATTAAATCAAAGCAATAAACAAGCACCTAATAAAGTAGCTAATTCCTGAAGGAGGATCTGCCAGAACAGAGGAATGCTTTGTGGTATCTACATCTCATACCAGCTGGTAACCTCCAAGAACTTAGTTTCTTCGTTACGTAAGGATAAATCTGACTAGCACATGGCCTAAATCCTAACCAGAGGATGAGCACAGACAATCCCTGACTCAGTACAGACAAGGTGTCTGTGGACAGCCACTTAACCTTCACACAAATACAACATCCTCTCAAAGCCCGTAGATATAAAGTGGATGAAAGTATGTTAAGGAAACAAGGACATAAAGTGGGACATGTTTTCATTTGATTGATTCCAGTTTTACTAAAATCCAGCCATTATGTATGCACTTTTAAATCGACACAAAAGAAGCTATGGGAGATTTAAAGGATATGTTCACATAGAGGAAGTTTTGCACTAAAAATGCAGCGACTGTTGAAACCTCATTAAGCTTAAATTAAACTTTTGAGTACATTTAAGTCTCTTAATGATTAGTGTGAACAGGAGGAATAGTTACAGCAAGTAAAGCAATAGGGATCTGACTATTTTAAGAAATTGTGAACCTATCCGTTCAGATCATTAGCTTATGTAAACATCCTGCAATACAAGATGGCAGGTGGATAATATAAACATACTTGTCCGTTTACTACTTGGAAGTTGATGTGACTGGTTTTCCCATCAGAAAGATCATATTTGCAGAAAATCCCAATGTGACCCGAACAAAGCACAAGAGCACACATAGTCTTGTCTAAATGCTACTGTGTATATAAACAACTCTATAACTGGAGATTAGTAGGACAGTTGCAGTTTTAAAGTGAGTCATTTTTTTTCATTATGATGTTGGAGATTGTATTGGTTCTTTAACTGTGCATTGAGAGCTACATTTCTATTTCTATTCTGAAGAACACAAAGCTTATATTAACAAGCTAGCCAATGAAACAATATGAAAAACTATAAGTTGATTGACAGAAAAAAAAATCTGCAGCTATTTTAATAATAAATAATTTTTCGGGAAAAAATGTGGTGGGTATTTGACAATTTTGTGACATTTCAGAGAATAAACAATGAATCCATTAATCATATGAATAATCTGAAGATGATTCAGTTAAAAAAAACATTAGTTGCAGCCTTATATTCATGAAAAGGTGTTGATCCGTATTTTCTAATCAACTTCTTGCATTTGATCATCAAGTCCCTCAAACATGACAAAAGTAACATGCTTCCAGATGTTAAAGTATATTGTATACTCTTACCTGAATTGGCTCTTGAGTCAGTCTCATAGGTCCTACACATTCTTCTGTAGCTGAAACCTGCAGGCAACAGATGAGACTGTGTGAATCTCTGTCACAAACAGAGCACATAAAACACACACATGGAAACACAACACAGAAAAAGCTGTGAATACTTCTTACCATTTTACCATTGATGTCCAGAAGCATATTGGCATATTGTTTTTTCTTGCACGACCCGAAACTTCACTACCTTCCTGACCTCCCTCTTTCAGCTTTACGTGTCCATAGAGCAATAAGACAAGTACTTCCTCTTACAAGTCTGGAGTTGAACAGCAACAACCTCCTCAAACAACAAATATCTGTGCATCTGGCTTCCTTACTACAGATTTCCGTGACTGCCTCTCCTACACTGTAGACACGGATATTTACATGCAGCATTAGCAGCCCAGAGCGGCACTGTCCACTGCAAACATCTTTAGAAGGTATTAGCAGCCAGCCACAGATAGAACTCCCAGGTTTACTTGCATAATCCTCACATCACATTCTGTGCTGGATGTGTGTGTGCACGCAGGTTTCTTAACCCTATGCGTCATTCTTGTGTGAATAAGCAACTCAGCTACATGTGCATCCTTTGAACATATGCACACACATGCTTACACCCTGCCTCAAACACACAATGAATCAGCAGTGTACCATATGGTGTACCACAGTGGACACCACATTAGCTCTGTGAATCATGCCTGGGAATTAACCATCAGATATCTGGTTATTTTTGAGCAAATTCTATGTTGGTGAGTAATTTTTCCTCATTGCAATGGTCTTTTGTTAGAATGTGTGCTTGTTGCCACGAACATGCTCATAACCCACAGGGGAATGTACCAAATGAAGGCCTCTTTCCAGCTGAAGAAAAATATTTATGGTGGCATCCACAGAGAGAGATAAAGAAAGGGGGAGGGGGATTTCTGTTAATTCTGCTAGAGGCCAGAGCTCCATAATAATGCATACCTTGCACAATCTCTACTCAGCCATTCAAAAGCCGTTGTATGACTAAAGTAATGAGGTAGACAGGAGTTGGTGAGTCAACCACAAATCAGTATTATTTGTCAGTGGTAATTAGGCTTAAAGGTGGACATCAACCCACATCTAGTCTCAACTGGCCACTACCAACCACAAACGTCATCAAGAGCTTTTGGGTGCTAAACTCGAGAAAAAAACCCCCATAATTTTGGGTGACATGCATTTACGTTGCGTCAGGCATGAACAAACTAATAGAGCAGCGCTATAGTAAAAAACTACGATGAAAGACATATACAGTCCAGGCTACATAAGGTGAAGAAACATTGGTAAGAGCCATGTAACATATGACCCAAAGCTTGGCAGTGTTGGTGATTTAGTTAGTTCAAGTTACTTCATGTTATTCTGTGTGTAGTGGGGTATAAAAACACAATGAAAGGAATGAATATAAGTTGAAGCATACAAGAAATTGCCAGTAAGCATAAAATAATATTCTCTCATAGTTCCCCCATCTCCCCGCAATACACTGCCACACACCATTCCTTGCAGGTAAAGGCACATACACTCACAACACATTCGCTATTTAGCATATTGTCTCATGTTGTCTTGTGTCAGACATTCACATTTTCAGATTAAAAGGAGTAGATCCAAAGTGAGCGTAGTTTATTTCAGAAACATTTTTTTGTTAAATTTGTTGAAATTCTCTTTACATCCAAACAGCAATCAAATGAAATGCTCTGGCACAAAAACGATAAAAAAAATCTAGTGTCTGTGGGACGGTAATAGGCACAGCCAATCATTTAATTTGAGCCAATCATTTTATTCATTCTTACCTACTTGCGTTCACTCACTGTACATATAAATATGTTTTGGGGGAGTTTCTTAGGAGGAAGGCTTTATGATTGAGTACTTTCAAAATCAAGCTGTCTCCTACTAGTTGTGATCCTTAAACTATACTATATTATACTATACTATACTAATACTTAATGTGCCCCTGTTATTTGTCTCAACTCCTGTGGTTAGGGTTACCATCAACAAAATGCTTCATGGGGACAGAGCACTACTGAGGCATTGAGAGTTATCAATTATCAGGAAGCAGGTGTGAAGGCTGTTCATGAAGTTCATATGGTGTTAATTGAAACAAAACACTTTTTGGAGCTGCTTCACAGTAAAAGTAACAAGCAGGCATTAGCAAGGTCCAAGCCCCCCAGTGCAAGCTGCACCCGGCTGTCTGCGGAGATGATGCAAGTTGAACCTGCAGACCGTGATGCAAGTCTCAAGTGGCGAAGAGCCCAGAGATTTGAAAACATTTTTTTAGCATATTATATATATATGATTGACAACAAGAGCGCCACCTAGTGGCTGATTGGCACAGATTTTTGCGCAGAGCCTTAGTGTGTCATGGGAAACTACTGACCCAAGTTTCGTGTTGACTTGTGTAAACACTGCAGAAAAGTAGGACAATGTTGTAAATAAACAACAAACAAACAAACAAAAAAACCCTTAAAGTGCCTCCTGTTATCTTTCACAGGCAGACCTATGCAGACATATGACATCACTTCCTGTTTGCTTGCAAGCTTCAGGAAATTGTTCCTCTATAATTTGAATTTCACTTACAGAACTTTGTTATGCTGTTCCCAGGGTCCCCAGTTCCCCAGTTCTAGGGTTAGGGAACTTAGGACTCTGGGAAAATATAGTCTCCCAGGAGCAAAGGAGGTAGTGTGACATTGTTATAGAGCCACAACACCGCAGAGGGAGGGGGCTGGGTGGTCGGTTAGGGCCAACAAAACATGAAACATTGAAATGGGAGATCCTTTCCTAACCTTAACTTAGTCTTTCAACCCAAACCAAGCTGTTTTGTTCCTAAACCTAAACTAACCTTATCCATATTTGTGTAAGATCAGAAGACACTTTTATTTTTGTGATTCGACAGTTTCTGACAAATGTCCTGCTGATTGGCTCATCAGATCACAACATCCCTGTAGAGGTTTGTGTTTGGAGGGAAGTAGCTCTACATTCAGTATATTGTCATTCAGTTGAAAGACAATTAAACCAATTGCTGTGTTAGGATAAGAGCTATGTAACATAGCAACATTTTAGAGTTTGGGGGCTATGATTAAGTTGATCTGCAAAATGTAAAGGGTAGATCCCTGAGCAGGAGAAGCCAAGGGATACGTCTATCTAAGGTACTTTGTTGACCATAGCAGACTTACAGGATTCTGTTGTCAGTTTTGTCTTACTGTACAAAGAGATTATTAGACATCTGAGCAGGAATTACTCTCATATTGTCAGCGATCATGGTGAGGTCTAAGGGGGCAAAGTAATGAGGTCAATCAAGTAAGAGATGACCCAAGAGAGTGCTGAACCAGAGATCCAGCAAGTCAGTATAAAGACAAGGAGCATCTGGCGGCTCAGTGTCTAATGCAAAAGACAAATGACTGAGGGGACTGAATCATCGTTGAGTGCTTCAGTGATGACAAGAAGCACAGACTCCAAAGATGTCAAGAGAGTTGGCTTCATGAGAAAATGAGTAATTCTGTTTTACATGAGGACGACACAGCCAGATGTGAAACAGAACAGGAAGGAAGGCTGTAGAAATGGGAACAGCTCAGTAATCACTGCTGTGAGAACACTTTGGAGAGAGATCAGTCAGTGGAGTTAGAAGCTGATGGAGGAAGTGTTGGGTGAAGTTGTCCTAGTGCACCATCTCTCCTTAAAGTAGGTGACAAAAATCCCCATGGAACAACAGGAAGGGGAAATATGTGAAGGAAGATTTAGGAATGAGTACACAAAAGAGCCTCTGAGAGTTCAGATGAATGCTAGAAGAGATGAATGGAAAAGAATGAAAAAAAACAGGCTGGAGGCTTGCTTGTACGCTTGATTCATAAGGATTCAGACAACCACGGGGAAGGAGAGGAAAAAACAGAAGAGAGGACAGAAATATTCAAAGAGAGATGAGAAAGTGAATGGAAGTTAGACATGAATGTGTAGAAAGTCAAGAGAATAAAGAGAGGAAAGAGAAACTAAACCCCAGGATATAAAGCACCGCAAAGACATGATTTTGGGATATAGTGCTGGGCAACGATTAAAATTTTTTATTGTGATTGCTCGCATGATTTTGCGATTAATCATATTGTTATGCGCAAAATTTAATAATGAATTCTAAGGTAGTGTATTGCATACTATTAATTTAAATGCACTGTTATATACACAGCAGTGCAATAACATGTGGTTTGCAAACACTTAAGGTGCTTTTTACCAGCAGTATTCCCTTTATACAGTAGCAATAAAATATTTCTTGTAAATCTCAACTTCAACTCAAATATAAAACCAAAGCTATCTGCCACTGCCAGGGCATTACCTTTTATCTAGCTTGTTAAAACAAGAGTGCAGAGCCACGATCATAACATCAGAACAGTCACCTTCTGAGCAACAGGTTAACACATCTAAATCTGTTTTCTTTTTGGTTTTTTTTCTGAACAGGTATCAGCAGAAACATTTTTCTATTTTCAGGGAGCAGCAGAAACAGTCAGAGGCAAGTGTCCCTATCAGAGTGAGATGAAGTGCTCTCCTCACGCACATGCCCAACTTTTTGTATGGGACAAGCAGCTCAAATCATTGGAAGAGAGACTGATCCTCACTGTTTGTTAGTTTCCAGAATCTATTACGGTTTAGTAAATAGGACATCAACAGGAGGGAATTTCCATGGCAGAGCATCCCCGTAAAACTAGATGAAGGCTTATCAGGTAAAGTTATGTATAATTTTAACTTACGTACAGAAGCCATCGTTGCCATCATTATTATCCATAGAGCACCTGCTGTTTACTCATGGAGCGCTGTCGGATAGAGCAACCCTGCGGGGTGATTTTAAGAACATACCTAAGACCGGCATCTTCCACAATACTAATCAGCATGCAATGTGTAGCTATCCAATTCGCTATGGCATTTGATCGCTTGTCTTGCTTTTGTTCATCTATTTCTCCCACACGCTGCATCAAGCATAGTCTGCTGAAGCCTCCCACCACTGCTTGTTTGGGTGGGTGATTTGCAGGCTGATCAACATC